CATAAGCTCTCCCTACTGTCAAGACACAAAACAAAGCTGAAATAGTCAAGAGCTGCAGCCGTGGGCTCCGGGAGCACAAATGATGTCCGATAAGGAATTCTTCAGAATTTTTCACGTGTAATCAGATCTTCATTCCACAAATTTCAAAAATATTTGCAATCTTCGTAGTCACTTGCAGAGCTGAAATAACATCAGTCGAGTTTAACATCCCCCTTCAACGATGAAGTAAAGAATGCGAGTAATCGCTACTTCTCCCACTAGAGTTGGTATCGAGTTTCGACCCATCTAGTGGGAAACAGATCACTTTGTCAGCACGTATGACCCATCTCGTAGAAGAGCCCTACTCTCTAATACACACATTTTAAGGCGAATGTTGGCTGCGTGGAGTAGCTGGAGAACGTTTTGCCGTCAGAAATTCCGGTTCAGTCGCCGTGGTTGAAGCGGTGGGAGACCATGCCTGCGAGTACATGACCGGAGGTCGTGTAATTATACTCGGAGCAATAGGAAGGAATTTCGCTGCTGCAATGAGCGGAGGAATCGCTTTCCTCTTCAACCAGTCAGTTTTGTAGTGTATTATCTGTTTTATTCAATCGCTAAATATTCAGTTGCAGAGGCGACCCATTCACCCAGCGAATCAACGTGGCAACTGTGGACCTGGATGAAGCAACCGAAGAGGATTTGGTCTTCGTTCGCGAGAAGATAACGCGATTTGTTGAGCTGACGGGCTCGGAACTTGGTCAGCGCATTCTGGACAACTGGCAAAAGGAGCATGCGAAGATTATCAAGGTGAGCCCGTTACGGGTGTTTACTGCTCCTACTCATACATTGATGGGTAGTGAGATTGGCTGGGATCTGTATGTTGAAAAGCCATGAGATAGAGTTAGGTTTATGTTGCGCGTGTTCATTGTTGTAAACAAACCAACCTATTGACCGTGTCGTTAGGACAAAGTTGAGCTCATGTAAATTTCTCGGGACATGGTAAATGTGGTCTGTTTTACCGACCCTTCATCGCACGTCCGCCCACTCCTTTCGCTTGTGGGGTCAAGCTTAGAGTTCCCCTAGTTCCCTTGGAAGTAGGGGACGACGGGATACCGTTGCAAACGATGGTAGTACGAAAGGCCGTGTTCCTTTTCATGATCCATACCGTGAGGGAAATATTTGTACAATACAGGAATTGAGCGTTGACCTGAAAGTTTTACCGTAAGTAATTTAAGTAGTCATTGTGTTTTCAGTGCCGCTCTAATCCTTTTAAATGCACGCTCTGAAGCGGAGATGGTGGAGTAGCCACGTTTGGGAATGATAGGTTGGAAGGTGGAAGTAATAAGTAGTGATGTGGTGAAGAAAAACCAAGGGAAAGATGAGACTCACGAAATGACACCCCCCATAGCGACCATTATTGCCCATTTTGGACGAGCCAACGATCGAGACCGAGTTCGTTTGGACTATCAATCCCGGTAGCTGGCATCATGCCGGCAAGGGTTATGTTTTGCTTGATGTCCCACAAGACAAAGCTATCAATCAAATGTGGTGTTTTTCCCCTTTGGCGAGGAACAAGAAGCGTGGAAACATGGACATGACCCTTCTTGAAACCGCCAGCCTCGCCACACTACCTGCAAAACTTGCGCCACTCTCGGACTTGAACCCTGGATGACAGGACTCATAGCCGGGTTTTTGCCAGTGCACCAGGGATCACTCGATCACAGCATTGGAAGAGATGTTGACAACAGGTAAGCAACGGATGTTGTTTGCAAATCTTAGAACTAACGCGGCATTGATCCAGCAACCTTGCCAGCGGCAGCGTGGAACGTTCCATTGAGCCATTGCCAATTCGTCATGGTCGAAGGTCGCAATGGTGAGCATCTCACACATTGTCTGCAAAACTCCCGCTACCCATGGGTTTGAACATCCGATGCAACGTTCCATGAGTGGAATCGTTGCCACTGCACTAAGGACCCCTATTTGACAATGATGAAAGAATTGTGGAGAAAAGGGAATATAGTCTACG